TTACGCTCAGGGAATAAGAACCTCCCGGTGGTCCCTGGGCCCCGCCTGGTGGAACTCACTGCCGGAGGATATTCACGCCCTGCAGGAGTCATTCCCTTTCCGCAGGGCATGCAAGACAGAGAGGTTCCGCCAGGCATTTGGCTGAGGACAGTGACGGGACAGTATTAAATCTGGCACTCTCACACCCCCTCCCCCCTCTGTAACCCCTCTCCCCTAGGAAGCCTGTGGAAGCCGAAATCTTTTCTTCCACCATCTTGGAATGTGTACTGTTTTACTTGTGGATAGGTTTTGCAGGGCTCTTTTTGTAGAAAAAGCCCAGCAGGAACTCATTAGCATAATAGGCCACACCCAACAGCAGAAACTCATTAGCCTATTAGGCCACGCCCCTGACAGCACAGCTCATTAGCGCATTAGGCCGCACCCCCATGTTACGGGAAGTGTGGCTTTTGGGTTGCCGGCTTTCGGGGGGGGGGGAACGTGCAGATCTGCCCTCACAGAGGAGGGAGAGCTTGTACCTGAAGGCAGGCCGGGGGAGGCTCTGCAACTTACTTGGCTGCTTCTTGCTCCTTGTGGCCCGACTGAGGGCTGCTGGGAGCAGGGGGCGGGGCTTGCTGCATGTGCCCACCCCCTGGGCTCCTTACTGCCGGAGCTCTGCTCCTGTCGTTCCTGTCCAAAAATAGCCCTGGGTTTTAGGTATTTTTAATGCTGGTTTTATATTAAATGATGGTTTCTGTTGTAAGAAGAGGAGGATTGGATATATACCCCACCCTTCACTACCTGAAGGAGTCTCAGAGCGGCTTACAATCTCCTTTCCCTCCCCCTCCCCACAACAGGCACCCTGTGAGGTAGGTGGGGCTGAGAGAGCTCTCTCGAGGACTGCTTGTGAGAGAACAGCTCTGAGAGAACTTGTGACTGACCCACAGTCACACCAGCAGCTGCATGCGGAGGAGTGGGGAATCAAGCCTGGTTCTCCCAGATCAGAGTCTGCACTCCTCACCACTACACCAAACAGTCCTGCTTGCAAGGAAGGGCGGCCTAATAAATCTAATTTAATAAATAAAAAATAAAATAATAAATCAATCAATAAACCTCAAGCCTGCGGGCATTTCTGGAATTCTGATACAGGATGGTGAGCACAAATGCAAAATGGCTGCTGCAGGAGGCAGAGCCAACTGCAAAGTGTCCAAACTGTTTCCCGCCTTGTTGGTGGGCGTCCTGATTTATGGGGGACCCCTGACCTATGCATCTCGTTTGATCTCTTGTACATCTCCATTCTGATGTCTCCCCCACCCTTCAACTTAAAGAATTACACTAAGGCAGGACTTTTTTTTTTTTAGAAAAAGGTGTGCAAATGCAGGATTTTGAGTCCGGATTTTTCTTTTTGCACTTTGAAACTGTATCATGCATCCCAAAGAGATACTCTGCCCTCAGTATGCCTTCCGGGCATAAGAAACTATTGTTGTTAATTCATGAAAAGTACCTGCCTTTCAGAAACCACCTTCCGAAACATAACAAGACTTCAAAGCCAAGCAAATTAAATGGATCAAAGTGCCACCATAACGTGCAAAAACAAATGATGGCATTCATCTTGCAAAGGGCTGGGGAGGCCCCACATTTGCGGCATACGTCGGTGGAAGACTTTCCGAGGTCTGCCCAGAAAACGCCAGGCAGGCGGAAGTGAGCTGCTCTGGCCAGGCCTTACCTTGAGGGGTTCCCAGAACAAGAAGGAGGAGAGGAAGCTAAAAATCCCTGAGATGAGCCACATGAGGGCCACGCTGGACGTGAACGTGACGCCAATCCACGACGAGATCCCAAAGCAGACGGCAAGGAGGGCGAGGCTGATGGTGTGAGCCAGGTACGAGCACCAGAAGGGCAGCAGGAACTTCCGGAGCGCATGATCTGCCACTATAATAATAATAATAAATAAATAAATAAATTAATTAATCGTACGGCATTGTGTGTAGAATCGTCAGGCGATCCTAAGATTGTCTGGCAACCAGAAGTTCTAGCTCTTTCAGTGTTATTCTTCACTAGGTGGCGAGCTAGGCTTGTTTTTAAGGCGGGAGACATTTCAGAGGAGGTTTCCCATTGCCTGCCTCTGTGCCACCCCCTGGTATTCCGTGGAGGTCTCAGCCGAGGCTGACCCTGCTTAGCTTTTGAGATCCGACGAGATTGGGCTTGCCTGGCCTATCCAGGTCAGGGCAATCCGCCACTAGAGGAGACAAAAACAGTGAGTTGGAGGGAGGGGGCTTATTGCCACATGACTCTCAGAAAGGAGACACCACAGCAGTGCCCCCCCCCCTTCTGTCCATACCCCATTCCTGAGATGAATTCCCTCTATGTGCCTCCACCAATGCTCCCTCTAAGCTGTGCAGCCTTGTGAGCAAAAAAAGAAATCATTGACGGCTAAATGAATGTCTGTGTGTTTTATTTAAATCGGGGCAATGGCTTTGGGGTTGTGCGGAGGCAACCTCAGAGAAGGGTTTGTGCTGGCCCCCTGGTTTACAAAATCCCTGCGACCAATGCTCCCTCTTAGCTATAGAGTCTTGTGAGCAAAACTTCTACTTTGTGAGCTACTGGCATCAAAGTTGTGAGTGAGCAATTTGGCTACTGCATAAATTAGTGTGCTCTGGAGCCATCCTTCCTGAGCTAAGACAAAAATGTGTGAGCTGGAGGCTAAAAAACTGTGAGCTAGCTCACACTAACTCAGCTTAGAGGGAACACTGGCCTCCACCCCCCCGAATGTTCTTACACCCAAAACAACACAGGATGCAGGGTCTGAGGAGGGAGACTGAGACAAGAGAATAGGCCAGAGGAAGGTGGTATCCCTGCTACTCCTCAGGTGATGGAGAATGTCACAACTGGGAACGGGAAATAGGGCGTTTTCCCACCCGCTCGCCCACCCACTCTCCGGTTTCGTGCAGGGTCCTAAACTGAGAGCCACTCTGGACACCCCCTGTACCTGTCCGTGTTGATTTGGCCGAGCAGTTGAGTTCCCTGCCGGGGGCCGCCACGTTCAGTCTCTGCATCATGAAGGCCTCCGTCTTCTCCCCGAGCATGCTGGATCTGTCGGAAACAAATCGGGGGCGTTCAGTGCCTTAGCCACTCTTGCTTGCTCCCACAAGATGGGCAGAGCCGATGAGCAACACTGCCATAGGAAGTGGTGGTGGCTACAAGCATGGACGGCTTCAAGAGGGAATTAGATAAGCATATGGAGCAGAGGTCCATCAGTGGCTATTAGCCACAAGGTATAGATAGGGGCTCTGGGGCAAGTGATGCTCTGTCTTCTTGGTGCTTGAGTGGGGGGGTCAGCAGTGGGAGGGCTTCTAATGTCCTGGCCCCACTGCTGGACCTCCTGATGGCACTGGTATTTCTGGCCACTGTGTGACACAGAGTGTTTTTCTTGGTGCTTGGGGGGGGGTCAACAGTGGGAGGGCTTCTAGCGTCCTGGCCCCACTGCTGGACCTCCTGATGGCACCTGGTATTTCTGGCCACTGTGTGACACAGAGTGTTGGACTGGATGGGCCACTGGCCTGATCCAACATTGGCGTCTCTTATGTTCTTATGTTTAAGTTAAAGGTAAAGGTTCCCTTGCTCGAAAGCCAGTCAAATCTGACTCTAGGGTTGTGATGCTTGTCTCCGTTTCCAAGCCGAAGAGCCAGCGCTGTCCGAAGACGTTTCCGTGGTCATGTGGCCGGCATGACTAGATGCCGAGGCTCACAGAACGCTGTTACCTTCCCACCGAAGCGGTACCTATTTATCTACTTGCATTTTCTTGCTTTCGAACTGCTAGGTTGGCAGGAGCTGGAACTAGAGACGGGAGCTCACTCCGCCATGCGGCACCCGGGTCTCGAACTGCTGAACTACCGACCTTCCACAGCCTGCAGTTCAGCATCTTGACCACTTGAGCCACCGCAGCTCCGTTCTTATGTTTATGTTAACACAAATCTTCCTCCAGGATGTTGAGGGGGGGTTGCTGGAGCTACGAATGCCCCACGGCAAGGGCTCCAACCCCTGGCCATCTGTGCAGAAGGCGGAGGTGGCGCAGTCCTTTTGCAAAGAGATCCCACACAACCCCCTTCACAAATGAGCTCAAATGCACACGTTTGTCTTTTGTGCAGAAAGCACACACTCCACCTGACCCGCCTCACAGGGTTGTGGAGATGAAAATTAGGACGTCAGAACCAGGTACTCTTCCTCTAACTTCCTTGGAGGAAGGTTGGTAGAAAAATGTACCAGGTATATCAATGAAAGAGCTGGCCTACAGGCTAAGGTGCCCCCTCTGACTGACAAATGCCTTTGGGCACCGGCACCGCCCAAGACCACCTTCGCCCCTGCTGTACTTACAGCCCCGAGAGGAGGTCGGTCTCCACCCTGCTGTACTGCCCCGCGTCCAGCGGATGGGAGATGCTGCCCGTTCCATCAGCGAGGATTTGCCTGATCAGGTCTTCATCTAGGGTGGGGAGAAGAGACCTGAGACGGAGTCTGGGGAGGGTCTCAAAAAAGGCCAAAGGGTGTGAAAAGTATCTGTTGCAACAGGAAGACCTTTGTCCATTGCAGAGGAGTTGACGAATGATGGCCATATCCTGGCTGGGCTCTGCCGTCCGCCCTCCAGGCGGTTTGGTGTAGTGGTTAAGTGTGCGGACTCTAATTTGGAAGAACCGGGTTTGATTCCCCGCTCCTCCACATGCAGCTGCTGGGGTGACCTTGGGTCAGTCACAAGCTCTGGCACAGCTGTCCTTGAAAAGGAGCAGTTTGTGTCAGAGTTCTCTCAGCCCCACCCACCTCACAGGGTGTCTGTTGTAGGGAGGGGAAGGGAAAGGAGTTTGTAAGCCGCTCTGAGACTCCGAGTGAAGGGCGGGGTATAAATCCACTCTCTTCTTCTTCTTCTCCCTGTCTCACCTGAAGCAGAAAAGTATCTGGTCTGAGTGTGGGGCAAGCCGAGAGACAAGCCGTCCTCCTCCGTGGCCAGAGGCGCCTCGAGGCCAAGATGGCGGCTGGTCCTCCCCCTCTTCAGCCTCTGGATGGTGTTGCCCATGATGGAAGGGTCGCTGAGGAGATCTGGCCAGTTGGGGAGGGCCTCGTTTGAATGCCACCGGATCAGGCTGAGGCAAGACAACAAAACAAAGGCCATCATCAGAGGGGAGTACTCAGAGCACCAGCAAGGAATTCTCTCGCGGCTCCGGGAAATCTTTGCCAGAAGTACTGCTTTTCACCCCAGACGGCAGCTCCTTGGATTGGCCTCAGGGGCAACCTGTCCTTTTTTCATCTGTCCACCCTTGGCAAAGAGGAGGGAGAGTGGAAGGCACAGAGTGGGCGTGAACTGGGGTGGAGGGGGATTCAGGTGGGTCACCTTGTTCGTCTGAAGCGGTCGAACAAAGTTTGAGTCCAGGGGCACCTTTAGGACCAACAAAGGTTTTATCCTGGGTATAAGCTTTTGAGTGCATGCACACTTCTTCAGGTCTACGCATGCAAAAGCTAATACCCAGAATGAAACCTGCTGGTCTTAAAAGTGCCACTGGGGTGGAGGGGGACCCACTTACCTCTTGGAGTCATCCAGGAACACGTCTGTTTTCGTTTGCTCCGAAAATGCCTGCAGGGAAAGGAAAAAAGCACTTGCACCAGGCCCAGTTGTGGCTTGTTGTGGCTTGTGGGGGCAATTTTTTTTCTGGTGGGGCTGAAGTTCAGAAGTGCAGAAAGAAAAACCACTTAGCCAATAGAAAGCGGTTACCAGGATAGATCTCTAAATTGCAACCTGTCAAACACTTTAGATGACAGATATCAGCTGCTGCAAGTTAATCACTTCTGCCAGCCGAAGCAACAGTTCTGATAGCAAGCCGGCAGGTGGGGGTGATGACTTCTATAGTCAAGGAAGCTAACTCTTAGGCAGAAAAACTCTCTTAAAGGAGAACAGTTTCTTGACACAGCGTTAGAAGGGATCCTAGAGGTCACCTACTCCAACCCCCTTGCTCAGTGCGGGAATTAGTCAACTAAAGCACCCCACTCTGCTTAAAGGAGCATACAGCTTTAAATAAGTGTTTTAAAATGATTGGGAAAAAAGCATTTACAGGAGAAATTCTTGTGGGGCTGCACCTTTAAGAAAGGGGGCGGAGCCCCCCAAAGCCCCACCATAGTTACAGGCCTGACTTACATGCCGGCACACACTGCTCTGCTCTCCAGATCCTGACCAGAGCACTGGCTCTTTCTGGTCACCTCAGTTTGCAAGGAATGCGACTGTCTCTCATTGGAGGAGAATTAGCACAGGCTCGGAGGGCCGGTTGTGGCCCAAGCGCTGCTTATGTTCAGGATGGAAATCTGCACCCACATGCCCCCCCCCCCCGGGGCATCCTGCTGTTGCCCCTCACCTCCGTCCGCAGCCCAGGGAAGGTGAGGAACGAGCTCTCCAGAAGCGAGGAGTCGAGGTAATTGTCAATCTCCAAGGACTGCTGGTCGGAATGAGTCAGGGACTGGCTTACGGACACCTGCCAGAGAGAAGGGCACTTGAAGGGAGCAGCCGTTTCTGTTAGGATCGCGGAGCGGGGCCCTCAATAAATGGGCAGGGGGCTCCAGCTCGGCGCAAACCCCCCCCACTTTGCAGGCAGAAGACTGCAGGGACGGTTTCTGGCTCTTTGTGTACAGACAAGTTTTGGAACGATAAGGGGAACGGTGATGTTTCCTCGCGGCGGCAACACCCCTCCTCCAGGTTCACAGACTCCAGGTTAACAGACCCCACACAAACACCGTTACCTTGCTGCGTGCCATCCGGAAGAGGAACAGGAGGACCAGATACAGCGGGTAGACGACCAAACTGGACACCAGCCCAACCGTTACCGTTTCACCGCTGACGGGGATCAGGGTGGAGACTGCCACATTGCTGGGGAAAGGACAGGAGAGGAAAGACGGGGGAGTGACTCGGGCCTGCTCGGAGGGCTGTTTCACTTGTCTCGGCTACTAGTTTCAAAAACAGAGAGGTGCTGGGGCTGAAGCCCACCAATATACCCCACTTCTTATGGGACACGCCTCTCCCCTAATCCCTGACTCTTAGGCAGGGGTCATTTCCTGCAGGAGCGCACAGGAGCGGAGCTCCGGCAGTAAAGAGCCCAGGGGGCGGGCACATGCAACAAGCCCCGCCCCCTGCTCCCAGGAGCCCTCAGTCGGGCCACGAGGAGCAAGAAGCAGCTAGGTAAGTTGCAGAGCCCCCCCCCCTTCAGGTACAAGCTCTCCCTCCTCTGTGAGGGCAGATCTGCACCCCACCCCAGAGCTAGCAATCCAAAACAGTCCAGTAGCACCTTTAAGACCAAGTTTTATTCAGGTACAAGCTCCCCCTCCTCTGCGAGGGCAGATCTGCATGTCCCCCCTCCCCCCATAGCTAGCAATCCAAAACAGTCCAGTGGAGCCTGAGCAGTGGGTGTTGCCTTCTGACACACTTCCAGTGATGTCAGGGGGCGTGGCATATGCAAATAAGTTATGCTAATGAGCTCCTGCATCTCTTTTTTCACGAAATAACCCCTGCTCTTAGGGCTGGCATATGACTACTCAGCACAGGCAAAAGGCAGGACAGGAGGACTCGTGGCCCCGGGCGCACCTGAAGTTGACGTCTCCCACCACACCGTACCACACGGCATTGGCACAGAGGAAGAGGAAGACGAGGAGGCAGCAGCAGGAAGCCCTCTGGACCCGGGTGAAGCGGCTGCGAGGGGGCCGATCCCACAGGGAGAGCCAGATGTGCTTCTCGAAGAAACCCCGCTGCAGCTCGCCCACGAAGATCCTCAAGAAGCTCCTCAGGTCAGCCTCGCCTGCGGGGAAGTCATGAAAGAAACGACAACACGTGGCGCTTGAGCGGAATCCTGGCACTTCCCACAGGCACTTCCCCGCAGGTGTCTGACAAAAGCCCTTCTCTGTAGTGTGATGCTCCAGCTGGCGGGCAGAAGGGTATATCCCAACTGTCCGCCTGGGACGGGGAAGAGCCGTACCCAGTCCAAAAGGGCTGTTCCAGGCCTGCCCCGTTTCAGTCCTCAGAGCCCTATAGTGTTCCCAAGAACCAGGGCAGATGTAGTCATAACGGGACACCCTTTTCTCTCCAGAGCGCAAATGGCTACAACATCTAGGATAACCGTTTCACGTTCAGAATAGCCTGATGGTGCTCGGGACACCCTGAGCCGTGGCTTTTCGTATCTGCCTTTCTTTTCCTCAGAGATCAGAGCAGTGCATTCTGGGGAGGCAGCCATTTCCCCCCTCCAAGGGGGATTCAGAGTGACCGCCTGAGGCGCTGAGGGTTAGATCCTGCCAATGTGTTCTGCTGTCGGAGGTGCTGTCCTGTGTCTTGTGTGAGGGAAAAGCCTCTTCGTGCAGAAGCATGGCTTTTGATGGAACGGATCTGCCAGCAGTAACCTTACGGGTCTCTTCCCTTCCCACAACCGGGCAGACATGGCCTATCCAAAGCGCCCCCCCCCCATTCACTCACTGGCAGCAAAGACCTCTCTCTCCACCAAGCCATCGTTCTCCTCGCTCTCCACGGACAGCCAGTCGTTCACCAGGAAGTGGAAACTCCGGCAGGTCTGCAGGTCTCGGACAATCACGTGTTGGAGGTACCAGGAGGGGCTGAGTCCTAAAAATGCCGGGGGTGGGGGGAAGAAAGGAGAAGAAGGAAGAGATTGGATTTATACCCCACCCTTCATTCGGAGTCTCAGAGCGGCTTACAAACTCCTTTCCCTTCCCCTCCCCACAACAGACACCCTGTGAGGTAGGTGGGGCTGAGAGAGCTCTGACAGAAACTGCTCTTTCAAGAGCAGCTCTGACAGAACTATGGCTTGCCCAAGGTCATCCAGCAGCTGCAAGTGGAGGAGCGGGGAATCAATCCCGGTTCTCCCAGATTGGAGTCTGTACGCCCTTCACTCCACCCCACCCCACCCATCACTTAGAGTCTCAGAGCGGCTTACAATCTCCTTTCTCTTCCCCTCCCCACCAGACACTCTGTGAGGTACGTGGGGCTGAGATCTCATTTGAGGACTGCCCTTGAGAGAACAGCTCTGAGAGAACTTGTGACTGACCCAGGGTCCCTCCAGCAGCTGCATGTGTAAGAGTGGGGGGATCAAACCCGGTTCTCCCAGATTAGAATCTGCACTTCTAACCACTAAACAAAACCGGCTCTCAAAGGAGGCATCAACGCTACCTCCTCTCCGCTTTCAGCCACAGCCACTAATGTGCAAAGGTTTTTAACTACAGAGTTTTGGAAACTTCTAACTTTATCCTCTGCAAACTCCTGTCCCAAACCAGCACCTGCTTCTTGCTCTAGCAAGATAACAGCTGATATCCCTCCCCTCAAACCCGCCCCCAGCCTTATCTGCCAGGGATCCCCCTGCTGCTAGGAACACAGGAGTGGCGACAGAATCTGTCCCAGCTCGATCCAGGGAAGCTCAGTTTTTGGACACACATTTCACAATGCGTTAAGCCCTGACTCCAACCAGACTCGGCCTTAACCTTCAGCAAACTGCACCTCCTGCACTCTGTCCCGCTTCATCCTCTACACAACAAATGTGGCGAGTGCATCTGGACTGAGCGCCGTTTCCGCACCGTGCAAACGCACTCAGGATCAGGCCTGGCTCTCAAGGCCTGCGCTGCAGCCCAGCACGGCTGCGTCTGCTTGAGCCGCACCTTTGTTGTCGTGCCAGATCCGGATTTTCCAGACGGTGCCCAGACACTGCTCGGTGGCGATCTGAAAGATGTCGAGGCTGTTGCGGTGGAAGGCGTCCTCGCTGTCCAGGTGCCTGTGGCCCGATTTGTGGTCCATCCCGTACAGTGTGATCCCCACGTGGGCTGTCGTCCCTGGGGGGGGGGAAGGAGTGAGAGCAGATTCTTAAGGAGAAAGACCCCCGAAACTGAAAACAACAAGAGACAGGATCCAGATGAAGACCCACTGGTACTACACACCGGTTAGGCGCCATAACAAATAATAATAGTAATAATAATAAGAGATTGGATTTCTACCCTGCCCTTCACTACCCGAAGGAGTCTCAGAGTGGCTTACAGTCTCCTTTCCATATTTTGTCAAAGGCTTTCACGTCCGGAGTTCATTCGCTGTTGTAGATCTTCCGGGTTGTATGGCCATGGTCTTGGCCTTGTAGGACCTGACGTTTCACCAGCAGCTGTGACTGGCATCCTCAGAGGTA